TCCCAAAATTTGAATGATTTAGTTTTTAAATAATATCAATCGTTATTTTTGTTACAAATAAATGTTATAAACTAACATGGCTCGGTTATTGAATTAATTTGACATTTTTTATGAATGATCTAAATTTTATTACCTAAAAAATAAACAATTTAAATCATCAAAGTAAAATTTGTAATAAATTTCACATGTCCAAATAATAGGGTGCAGACTGTAAACTGTATTCACTACTACAAAAATAGTTAAAGATCACACTTTGACAAAAAAAAAGATCTCACTTTTATTGGAAGTGTGATAAAAAAAATTAGATTGATATTTTAATCACACTTAATTTGATTGAGTGTGATAATATTTATTTTTTATGTCACTTTTCAATTAAGTGTGATTATATATATATATATTTTAACCACACATTCTAATTAAAGTGTAATTATTTATATATTTTTTAATCACACATCGGAGACAACGTGACCCAAAAACTTTACCTCGGAAAGTCAAAACTTACATTTCTCATACTTAGCATACAATCGGTGTTCCCTAAGCAATTGCAAGACAATGCGGAGGTGCTCTTCATACACTTCCTCAGAAGGTGAGTAGATAAGAATATCATCCACAAACACCACCACGAATTTATCGAGATAATCTCAAAAGACTCGGTTCATTAAGTCCATAAAGGTGGCAAGGGCATTAGTTAAACCAAATGGCATCACGAGGAATTCATAGTGGCCATACTGAGTACGAAAAGCTGTCTTCGGAATATCTTCTTTTTTCATACGCAACTGATGATAACCCAATCTTAGGTCTATCTTTGAGAAACATCAAAAACCCTTAAGTTGGTCGAAAAGATCACGTATCCTAAGCAACAGATATTTATTTTTAACCGTAACCATATTTAGCTTGCGGTAGTCGATGCATAACCACAACGAACCATCATTTTTCTTGGAAAAAAGAGTCAGTGCTCCCCATAGCGAGGTACTAGGGCGTATAAAACCCTTGTCTAACAATTCTTATAATTGCTCCTTTAGAACAAGTAGTTCTGGTAGGGAAAATCTATATGGCGACATGGAAATAGGTGTCGTGCCAAGCACCAAATCTATAGAGAATTTTACCTCTTGATGAGGCGGTAATGCGGTGAGATCCTCAGGAAAAACATCTATATACTCACAAACTACCTTAGGAAATATGCCCCGAATTGTAGTACCCTCATCATCAATAATAGTTGCAAGAAGAAATCTAAGTTTGCCTAAACTTCATGGGTCATATAACGGTGACAACCCTTCATCGACTCTATCCCCCAGAAAATAAAAATAGTCCCCACCAGCAGTACACACCGTAACCCTTCCACGGTAGCAATCAATGACAGCATCATAAGAGGACAACCAGTCTGTACCAAGAATGACATCAAAACCTGACATCTCTAATAATACCAAATTAAAATGGAGTTGACGTTCAACCAGCTCAATTACACACCATAACACCCTTGATTTAAGATAGCCAGACCCCAGATTGGCAACTCAACCATGAGGGAAGACTCTAGTTGTTTTACTTTTAAGCCCAAAGTGGATGCGAATACAGATGCGATAGATGAATGAGATGCTCTAGTGTCTATCAATATGCTGGTCCAAGTGTTGTAGATGAGATAGGTACCTCTCATCACTGATGGTCCAGATGATTGTTCAAAAGCAGTGATTGCATAAACTCATCCTTGGGGCCTTTGTTCACCCCGATCACCTCTCAAAACGTTGGCTGGTTATGTTGACTGTGATGATGTGGCCCCTTATACTACCCTTGATGTTTGCCTAGACTGGTTACCTCTGACCTTGGTTTGCTTGATAACTAGCAGAATTTTGGGATCCAGAAGCACTTGTCATCCCAACTAGCTGTGGACAAGACCTCTTCATATGCCCTGATTGCCGACAATGGTAACATGTCGGCAACTGGCCCCATCCTTGGGCTTGGCTTTGAGAACGAGTTTGTTATTGATGACAAGGATTCTATTTGCACTTGGCTGCTCTGTAACCTTGCTGGCCACATCTAAAACAAATAACATGGCCAGGACCCTTACCTCCAGAACTTCTCACAGAAACGGACCCCGATGACTTAGCTTGTCGCCACTTCACCTCTACGACTACCATTACTACTACCATTGCCACCACTACCATTATTGCCACTACTACTACCATTACCTCTCATTCACCCTTGCCACTTCATCTACTCTACCACTACCACAACTTCACCACTAATCTCCTTCGCTACCACCACCACCACCACCATCACCACCATCATCTCTTATCCACCACCTTCGCCATTACTGCCACTACTACTATCATTACCTCTCCTTCACCCTTGCCACTTCATCTACTCTACCACTACTACAACACCATTAATCTCCTTCGCCGCCACCACCACCACCACCACCATCTCTTATCCACCACCTTCACCACTACTACTACTCCCTCTCCTCTACCACAAAAAATTAGTTCATGATTTTTACTAACCAAAAAAAATAGGCCGTAGAAAAATATTTTTCATTGACCACAGAAAATTATCTTTAATTTTAGTGGAAAATATTTTTTATTAAAATATTACCCCTACTTCTACCAAATAGAAAATAATAATATTTTTTTCATTAAAATAAAAATGAATACTTTTTTTTTTTAGTGAATATTTTTAAAATTTTAAATATTTTTTTTAGATACACCTTACTTAGATGCATCTAAAAAAATAAATTATGAAAAAATATTTTTAAAAATTAATAAATACATAAAAATACAAAAAAATGTATTGAATTATTGTATTTTTGGTATTTAGTGAATTTTTAAAAGATTTTTTTTACAATTTTTTTAAATTTTTAGATGTATTTATGTTAGGTGTGTCTAAAAATTTTAAAAAATACTTAAAATATTAAAAAAATTCAGTAAAAACAACATAACACGGAAAACAAGAAAGTATAATTTTCTCAAAAGAGTTTTTGGAAAACTCTAACCTAGCATAGTGATTGTGGTTTTGAGACAGCTTCATATATATATAGTCACAAAATTCTATCGCAAAACTTTTTTTAAAAAAAATGTCTTCTTACTCTTTTAATATAACATTTCTCTTTTCATTCATTTTTTCATCTTCATGCCTCTCTGTCTTTATCTCTTTCTCTTTTCTTTATCTCTTGCACTCATCACTCTTCTTTCTCTGTCTGTCTGTTTCTCTCTCTCATTTTCTCTCTGTGTCTCTCGCCTATCTCTCTTCTCTCTATCTCTCTCATCTGTTTTCTCTCGCTCATCTCTCTTCTCTCTATCTCTCTCATTTCTTTTCTCTCTCTCTCTTATCTTTCTATCTCTCTCGCTCATTTCTCTTCTCTCTCTGTCTCTCTCTTTTTCTGTGTCTCTCTCTCACTCATCTCTTTTTGTCTATCTCTCGCTCATCTCTTGTTTCTCTCTCTTTTTCTATCTTTCTCTCTATCTCTATCTCTCTCTCTCTCTCTTTCTCTTTTCTGTCTCTCTCTCTCTCCCTGTCTCTCTCTCACTCACCACCCTTCTCTTTCTCTCTCTACTTGTCTATTTGTCTATTTCTCTCTCACTATGTTCGCCTTGTTCACTCTCTTACTCCCATCTTCTCTATTTATCGAGCTCCTTCTCGATTTATCGATCCACTATAAACAATGTCGTCTTATTCTTTTGAACATTTATCTTTTCACCCATTTTTTCAGCTTCCTATCTCTCTGTCTCTGTCTATCTTTCCCTCTCTTACTCATTACTCTTCTCTATCTGTCTGTCTCTCCATTTCTCTATATGTCTTTGTCTCTCTCTCACTCATCACTTTTCTCTGTCTGTCCGTCTCTCTCTTTCTCTCTATGTCTCTGTCTCTCTTCTCTTTCTCTTTCTCATTCATCACTCTTCTCTGTCCGCATTCTCAGGGAGTATTCTCAGCGCCGGCGGTGGTGGACCGTTCGAGAAAGCAACGTCGTCCGATTGGATCTATATGATTGACAGATTTTAGAACTTTGATAATCCATTGTTTTCACCACCGTTCCTAACCTGAATGACTTCCCGGACCTCATCCTCTTCCTCATCCTCTCATTTCTCCCTACTCTTGATGCCATTCGAACCACCTGTCTCTCTCACAAATGGCGAAACCTCTGGTTCTCTCTCTTCTCTCTCAACTTCGACTACCCCCTCTTCCCTCCCTCCGACTTTCCCTCCGACACCTGTCGTCTCTTGGATAGGTGAGGATGGAGGGTATGGTGAAGAAATATCAGCAAAAATTTAGAAAAGTCGTCTTCTCTATCTATCTATCTCTCTCTTTTTCTCTATGTCTGTCTATCTCTCTCTTTTTCTCTATGTCTCTCGTCCATCTCTCTTCTCTCTATCTCTTTCATATATCTTCTCTCTCTGCCTCTCTTCTCTCTCTCTCTTTATCTATTTTCGCTTTTTTTTTTCTCTCTCTCTGTCTCTCTCTCTTTGTCTATATCTTTTCACCCATTTTTTCATCTTCTTCTCTCTCTTTTCTTTCTCTTTCTTATTCATCACTCTTCTCTCTCTGTCTGTCTATTTGACTCTCTCTGTCTCTCTCTCTCTTATCCATCATCGCTACCACTCTACTACCACCACTACTACTACCATTACCTCTCCTCTACCACTGTTATTCTATCTCCTCTACTACTACCACAACTTCACTACTTATCTTCTTCACCATCACTACCACCACCATTATCACCTCTTATCCACCACTTTCACCACTACTGCCACTACCAAATGAAAAAAAAAAAAAATTCATCAACTATAAAAATTATTTTAATAATTTTTTATTTTAATAAAAAATTCATTAACTATTTGTGGGTGTGTGTGTAGGGTTTTGTTTGACAACACACACACAACACAAACACAAACACACACAGCCGTCTCCATCTAGGGTTTCGCCTTCCTCTCTCTCTCTTTCACACAACGACGGCGCCGATCATCCGTCACCGCCGATCCTCCCTCACTCCCGATCCTCCCTCACCGTCGCTCGTACCTCACTGTCGATCCTCCTCCCTTACCGCCGCTGCTGCCTCCCCCTCTCTCTCTCTCACAAACGACGTTGACGGTTGCTCGCCCCTCACCGCCACTCCTCCCTCACCGGCGATCTTCCCTCACCGCCGATTTCAAAGGGTCTCTCTCTCTCTCTCTCTCTCTCTCTGTGTGTGTCGGGATTTCGGATATAGGGGGTTTTCATACACACACACACACACATATATATATATATATATATATATACATCTGTGAGTGTATATAGGGGGGTTTTTGATCTGTTACATATATATATATATATATATATATGATCTGTTTTTTTTTCTTGATCTGTTTTTCCCATACAGATCTGCCTAGTACTGCTACTCATACCAGCCTCTCTGCTGACTTGTGTTTTTATGTTCTTTAAATTTCAGTTACTTTCTTTCCTTTTTTTTGTGTTTAATGTTTGTTATCATTGCATAGCTAATCTAGTAGTTTAATCACTGCTAGTTGATATTATTGTTAACAAATTTTCCTAATAGAAAAGTCCATGAAATCAAGAACTTCACAAACCTTCAGTAATTTTTTTAGCGTTAGAGTAGTTAGGAAAGACTGTAAAATTGGCTTAGTTGAGGCCCAAAATTCAAATTTGAGAGTTTGCTTTCAAAGAACATTTGAAGAGGAATAGTTTATATGTTTTCTGCTGTAAATTTAGCATTTTACAAATTAATTCAAATTAATTCAGGTGTTTCAACTTCATCTATTTCAACTTCATTTCCTTGGAAGCAGCACTTGGTACGTTTTTTGGTTGTGATTGATGACTACCTTTATGTATCATCTAAATTCCAAGGAAATGTTTTTACTTTACGTTTTGTTACCATTTGGTTTTCCATTTGATATATGATCACTATAAATGGAAATGTAAGAGGAATAGACTAAACTGATATGCAATGTTGTAGTGAAATAAGATTTCAATTTATTTAATTTAACTGTATATATAGCTCTTGACAGAGCGGAAAGGCAAAAAATGAAAACCAACACAAGACTTAGTTTGGTTTGATTTTCTTTTTAACAAGTTTTCACTTTTTATATTTTTCCAAGAAGGGATAAAGGAGTTAATCCTACTTGTACTGTCAAGCATGTAATCTAGTATGAATATCACAAATTTGAGTTGATGGTGGTTATTTTTTGAAGTTTGTGATCACAATACAGTTTAGTTTCACCCCCTAATTATATATATATGTGTGTGTGTGTGTGTGTGCATATTTATACACATACATACATGTATATGTTTGATTTTCTAAACAAAAGGTTTGTTATTTTCAATTGGGGTGGCTAATTTTGTTAGACTAGAATTATTGAGTTGTTTATAGCCATTTGTGGAAACCATTGATTCATCATCGTCATCCTTATTCCTTCCTACATTATCTGATCAATGGTTATATATAATTCCAAATGGCAACTATTGACAATTGGGATTACTAGGTGGTTCAGTTTTCTGATGAACTTTAGGTATGATTTGCAAGAGAATATAAAAATGGCTGACTATATTAGTCTGTGCGTGGTGTGTGTTTTTGGACTTTTTGATCAAATCATGATCATCCTCTTTTACTTTTATGTAACAGATAATCAATATTAAATTTGTAATAATTAACTAAATCGTTACCCTTTCTTGACTTCTTGATTATCACTTACTCGTTTATTTTCGTATCACCCGATCTCCAAATTTTCTCTCTGTTTGTCTATTTTAATACTTTTTGTTGTCGAATCATTTAAGAATCTCAAGATGCATAATTTTGAGAATAATCATATGACTGGGGAGTGCATTGGGTCATGGTCTTGACTTAATCAACTCATTATTCTTTCTTAATTTCTTGATTATCTTTTACTTAAATATTTTCATATCATTCAACCTCCTTATGCAATCAAAATCTCCCGGCTTTAAATTTATCTGTTTCTTTGTCTGAATATTTTTCGCTGTTAGATCAATTTAAAAATTTCAAAATACAAAAATCTCGATACATGAATATTTGACTGAGATTACATTGGGACAAAAGAAGGAAGGATCCCTTGTCCTTTTAATAGGTACAACCCATTAATGCATATTTGAATCACATGCACTGAACTTGCGCATGTATCTCAAGATATGATTATTTGTAAGTAAGATTATTTGAGTGAGAATACATTAGGACAGAAGAAGAGAAAATATCTTGCCCTTTGAATGTACAACCCAGAAATGCATATTTGAATCACATGGGCTGCACGTGCTACCAATTGTGTGAGGGGTATGTATACCCTTGTGGGTCAAAAAGAAGAGAGAACTCCTAGTTTTCTTGTTCTTTGGTGATAGATTCTATTTAATAATATAATACTAGCAGTGTTTTTTTATGTTCTTTGGTGATAGATTCTATTAAATTAGTTGGGTGTGCATGCTGACTTGTGTTTTTATGTTCTTTAAATTTCAGTTACTTTCTTTCCTTTTTTTTGTGTTTAATGTTGTTATCATTGCATAGCTAATCTAGTAGTTTAATCACTGCTAGTTGATATTATTGTTAACAAATTTTCCTAATAGAAAAGTCCATGAAATCAAGAACTTCACAAACCTTCAGTAATTTTTTTAGCGTTAGAGTAGTTAGGAAAGACTGTAAAATTGGCTTAGTTGAGGCCCAAAATTGAAATTTGAGAGTTTGCTTTCAAAGAACATTTGAAGAGGAATAGTTTATATGTTTTCTGCTATAAATTTAGCATTTTACAAATTAATTCAAATTAATTCAGGTGTTTCAACTTCATCTATTTAGATGTAGCGGAAGCAG